GATGTTGTGGAAATCTACAAATAATATCCTTTTAATGTAAATAGAGTAACATGAATGACTATATCCAATGGCATAACTGTAGTAATAGCACCCCTGATATCTGCCATGGGACTGGTATACAAGAGAGGCCAGGCTGGCCTGGGTGTGTAGAGTGTGCATTTAACCGGTACATTGAGAGCAATGTCATCTTACTAACTTGCAGATATGTACAGAAAATGGCCTATTTCTCCCCCAACTAAGACTGGCTATTGATATATGGTTTCTTTTGTCCACTGATTGAGTACTGTCCATGATACTTTTTATTTTCACTAAAAGTTAATTTTTCCAGACAAGCTTTCAGGGAGTCTACACCCTTCCTCTAAGGTTCAAGCAATACTGAACCACAGAGGTTTAACAAACTGTTAAGAAGACCTTTGTGTATCAGTACTACTTGGACCTTAGAAGAAGGGGTAGACCCCCAAAAGCTTGTCCGTAAAATTTAACTTTTAGTTCAGCTCTGTGTGCTGATGACTCATCTCTGCTCTCTCGGAGGGGGAGGAGGGGGGAAACAGCTGATCGCAGTTTAGGGATAACAACCCGACCCTCTGAGAAAGACGGATTGCAGATATTGTGGAGGGAATTTTGAACTTCTAGGCCTCTGGCCTGTAAAAGAATCTATAAAATAAAGTATGAAAAACAGCCCTGTGACTCCTGAGAATGCACACACATGTACATCTCCCTGCACCTCCCTATTACCACCAAAAACTCAAAATCACTTACAAAGGTGGAAATGTCCTTTTAAGCCTTTTGTTCCCTGAAAAAGATATCCTACTGTTGACCTCACAGGGTAAGGATCTCTACAGTCTGGAACAGAGAGCTTCTCTGCACTGCTGTGCAAGTCAGTAAACATGCTTTACAGGGCAGTTTCTTAACACAGGGTATGCAATACAAGACAGCTTCTTCCAGGGCAGTCTCTCTCTTTTCTTTCCTTTAAGAATTATTTTTCTAATTTGCTCTCTTTCCAGGGCATACTCTGGAAAGGGTACACTTGATAGGCTCTCCAGGGCCATCAATGTCTCACCCTTTCTCCAGCTTAGTATCCATCTCCCCACACAGCATTCTCTCCAGAACTCACACACAAACAAACAAACACACACTCTATTCTTTTGGTATCTCTCTTCCTCTCCATTTTTGCATATGGCAAACTCTCCATGGCAGTCCTTACCTCTCTATCCAAGGCATGCTCTCTCTTTCTCCCCAAGATGGTCTCTCCATCTCGTGCTCTCTTTGACTAGCAGTCCTTGCATACTCAATATATTGCAAATCATAGGGGCAGGTTGTTCAGGTACCACCAAGGTGGCATGCACTTACATGTAACAACAATGATGAACATCACAAAGGACCCCAGACTGTATTTTAAACTTTGCAATCCGTGTTCACGAATGAATTTATAGCAGACTTCTTCCACAATTACAGCTTATTAAACTAATAAACTTGTAACTAATGTGTATGATGTTTACCCAGCTGTACGGTATTTATTAAATGCAGAATTTACCAAGACCATGCCGGTGGCCACATAATTAAAATGCATAAAATAGTAATTTTCTATAATTTATCTATTGCATTAATTTTCTAACATTTAAAAGTAATTAAATATAAATGATGTGGCTCATTCCTACCTTATCTGCTTTCCTGACACTTTATTCTGCCTTTTGTTATGTTTCCAGGTAGTGTGGATTACGGCCACAATGCCTTATGTTGTCCTGATTGCATTGCTGCTTCGTGGTATCACACTCCCGGGAGCCATTGATGGCATCAAAGCATACTTAAGTGTTGATTTTCTCCGTCTTTGTGAGGCATCGGTAAGTTTAAGTTTACCATACAATTAAAAAGATCTGACCGTAGTTGATTCTCATTTCATTCCACTGAGGTGTCAATAAGCTCAGTATTTTACTTTTTCTTCTGCCAACCTTTTTGTATTAAATACTAACATGGGTCTGTGTCACATTCTGTGACTTCACCTTCACCCTCTCCTGAAGTTTGTCTTGTTTTTTTATGCATTGCCTGAGAGTACTTAAGGACCGTTACCCACCACCATGTCTAATGCATTGCGTGGAGTGTGCTGTATCCCATCCTATCTTGTAAATCCTGCATCAGGCTAATAGGTGGGCAGAAGGTGAGTGCCTTGTGAGCCTCAGTGAAAGCAGGCACAGGCAGGGACACATTGCTGAAACATCATTATGCCAAATTAGCAGCTCCAAAGTCCTACTTTGCATATAATTCCTGATCTGATGTGCCAAACTACTTTTTAATCATTTCTGCCCCACTTGAGTTTAGCTCTCCAACTGTCCCAAGTACCTCTCTTGTGTGTGCTACTGATGGTCTTCTTACTACCAAAGCTGTGGAGCACACATAAACTCTTCCCCACTTGTGTAAGGGGGACCTTGGTGGAGTAATCTAGTTCTATTTCCAAGAAGTAAAAACTGTCAGAATCCACCCTACTGCAGCACAAGGAAGAGAGCAAGTGGAACATCATCAACACTACAGTGCATGCAGTTTCTTTGGGGCATGTCTTGTAAGTTGTTACCACTTGGGGGTAGAGGTCTTGTCATAGAGTTTGTCACTGTGTGGGGAGATATGGAATATCACATGATTATTTGCTGCTGGGGGATTGGGGAGCAATGATTTCTTAATATTATATATTTGCCGTGTCCAGCTATTGGCCTGGACTTCGCCCTTTGGTTTTGGTTTCAGCCTTTTTGTCCTGTTCCCTGGGCTTGCTCTCCCTCGTACCTAGTATCTTTTGATTTTACTCCAGCTGTAGTGGTGTGCTGGTCCTGATTTTCTGTTTTGTTTTCTGTCAGAAGCACCCTATGCCTTTTTCCAAAAATATGGCATAAGATTTAAATTAGTATTTCATATTTTAAAGATTTTAACATTGGTCATGCAAATTGTAATAACATAAGTCCTTATATAATGGCGTAAATCTTGATCCATCACAAACTTTGTGCAAGAAGCACACCATCTATTGCCACCTTCTTTAGAAAGCAGCTCACTATTTATTTGACCCTTATATATGGGAAGGTCAAAATGTTCTCATGGTCAATTGCAATATGATGTAATCTATAAACCCACCAACAGTAGGTAAATAAAAGCTTCTGGTTATTAGTGATGAGCCGAACACCCCCGTGTTCGGTTCTAACTCGAACTTTCGAACATGGAAAAAGTTCTAACTCGAACTTAGAACTCAATGCAAGTCTATGGGGGTAGAACTCAGAAAATTAAAGGTCCCCATTTTGAAGCCTTATATGCAATTTATTGGCCATAAAAAGTGTATGGGGATCCGGGTAGTGCCCTGAATGACAGGAATCAATGAAATTTAAAACAAAAAAAAACCAAGAAAAATATTTTTTAAAGGAACAGTGATTTTTACATGATTTACAGGGTAAGAGTAAAAATGAAAAATTCCTTCAAATATTGTGCCTGGAGGGTCCCCATAACCTGCCTGTGAACTGGTGGATCTGTAGGATGTATAGAACCTGCTGCAGCAAAAAGTGACATTTAAAAAGAAAAACAAATTATTTTCAATTGAAGGTATAGAACCTGCTGAAGCAAAATGACATTTATATACATTTTATTGATATTTATATAGAAACCGCGGGCATCCCATAATGTTCGGCGTTCGGCGAACGCTAGAACATGCAATGTTCGAGTCGAACCTATGTCCGACTCGAACGTTCAGCACATCCCTACTGGTTATATCCCTCCTTCAGTAAGATATGCACTAATTATGCGGTAGATCAACATTTTTGCTGTTATATAATGACTTATGTTTGTGCACAATTGATGCTATAATTTATATCTTATGTCATGTTTTGCTTTTGTTTAGCACTTTTTTTTGTGGGTTTTCCCTTCAGTATCCTCATGTCTGTTCATGTGCTCTCTTGGAGTCTGTACGCATATCCTGGCATTCTTTTTCACCTGGGAACAGGGGGGTGTTCTCTGAAATGTAAGTCATGAGCATTTAAGTACCAATGAACATTCTAAGGAAAAGGTAACAGCTACAAGTAGAAGACCTTGCCAACACCACAAACCTTTCCCTGGAGCTGTGGCTGGGTGCCAGGCCTGAGCTATGATCTTTGTCTATGAGTCTTCTATTTTTATTCTGTCTATGATTCATTCTTAAGTTTCGATAACTACAGTACTTACTCTGGCACTTTATATCTGGCTCTCATTTTCTGTCTTTGTCTCTGGATCTTAATAAATTCCCGCATATGGTTATCCTAGCTTCTGTAACACCACAGTCTCTGGCCAACAGCCACCTGCTGGTCATTACAATAACATGTGAATGTGTAGAAATGTCTTTATAGCATTCTCTCATAAGTTTCATTGACTAAGGTCTTGATTGATCAAGCTACAGTTGTAGTTTAGCCACACTAACATTTGCCTATGCTAAAATCATGCTAAATGGGCTAACATGTGCTTATCATATGTAAGTTTAGCATTCTGTAAGTGCTATTTAGTACACCTCTTGCATCTTGATGAATTAGGGCTCAAGTCTGTTTCTGAGATCATAGAAATATAATTTCTGAACTGAACTCTTCACTACCATCATATTGTTGGAAAGCACAAACACCAACATTGATGCTCCAAGCTACTCAGTAATGACCTGCAAATACTGGTTCCTCTCCATACCCTGGTAGACAGAAAAATAACTCTTTTGTTATTTACAAAGTTCAAGGCTGAAACTTACACACACACAACTACATGAATCAGATGAGTGATTAAAGTGACATTAAACCCTCAGATTTTTTAACATAAACCAATACTGCAATGTGTGCCTTACTGTAATCCATGGTAGTTTCCCTTCTCTTTGCTGCTCTTCCTTTTAAATCCTCATGTCTTCTCATGCTGGGGGAGAACTTCCCTTTGCAGTTGAGTGCCTCTTCCTGTAGTGCTGGCTCAGGTTGCAAACCTACACACAGACACCATGTATCCATTTCAGAGATGAGGCAGTCTGCTGCAAAACAGAAGTTCTCCCAGGCATGAGAACAGATACAGATTTAAAAGGAAGAGCAGCAAAGAGAAGGGAAACAACCATGGATTACAGTAAGGCACACATTACAGTATTGTTTTATGTTAAAAAATCTGAGGGTTTATTGCCACTTTAAGCCCATATCCAGGTGGCTCTGGTTTAACTTTTAAAACAGACAAAGCCAGCTTCCAGACAGTGCTATGGTTTTTAGAGAACCCATATTGCTCTGGGAGGCCTTTGTCATGTATTAAATGTGTATTTGTAAAACAAAGAATTTGTACATATAATGAAACATATAAAACATCAGTTTAATGTATCAATAGTATAATCTATTAGCAACACACTTTCCCTTTATCTGATGTAATGTTACTAGATTCAAGTCCTGATTAGTCTCCTGGCTACTGGTAGGTTCCAGTCAGATTAAATACATACCCCACATTGACAGTCTTCTCGTTTTGGTAATTTCTCCCTAAATGAAGTCGTTTTCTACTGTTTGATTGAACCCCCTTTAGTTCTGCAGTAGCAAAACATCTATTCACCTATTATTACTTATTGTATTAAGGTTTGAACAAGCAAAACAGATTTAGGTCCAAAGAGATCCATTCTGATTGAATCTCTCCCAATTCTTTCCTCTCTAACATTTTAGTCTAGTTTTAGTCAGTTGACAAAAATGTCAATATATTTGCATTATAGTTTTAGTCACCATAACTTAGTTTTTATTTAGTTTTAGTCACTGAAAATTTTTTATTCACTAGAATTATGACAAAAATTGTTAGGCGACTACATTGACACTGTGCAGCACCATGGCAACTGCAGGTCCAAAAAGAGGCTAAGGTGCTACCCTCCTCAACTGTAAAGGACAGGATGATTTAATTCTGCTTTAGAGTAAAAAGCCAAGTTAAAACATGTTAAACAGGTTAAGTGATTACTTTCACGTACTCTGAATTAGCATTGACTGTTTCCCTTGTGAGTAGCCAAAGTAAATATAAGTGTCCAAGGGATGTTTCCTGTATGCAGAGTAACCAGAATATCTTAGACTTTCAAGCTTGTCAATGTGTTGGTCTACATCTATCCACATTTGGAAAGCCTGTATGCCCTATTTACTAAAGAAACAGAGACATATATGACACAGTTTGCCTGTTATGGTCATTTAGCACATCCTTAACTCTATTTTTTTTTAAGTATTTGGATGAACAATGCAATAATTGGTTTAACAAAAGTACCTTCAGAGGTTCCTGACATGAAATTAATTTAATGGAAGAAACAATGCAGCTACTGAGTCCATTCTTTTAATTTGCAATCAATCTGAGCTAATATTTTATTTTCCATAAGAAAGAGCAATGGAGGGACATAATTTCCCTCTTTGCGAGCTCACGACTTGACAACTCAAAGCAATAATCTGAGAAATTGGAATTGGGCTCAGTAATTGGTGAAATTACCTTGTATTCAACACTATCTTTCATCTTTATGCTGAATGAGTTTCCTGCAATTATCTCTAATAACAGCTCTCCCTCTCTCCCTCCTCCTTCCACTATTCTTTGTCTGCCTGCTTCTGGCGATTGTTTAAAGGTTTGGATTGATGCTGCCACTCAGATCTGCTTCTCACTCGGTGTTGGGTTTGGTGTGCTAATTGCTTTCTCCAGTTACAATAAGTTTACAAACAACTGCTATAGGTAAGTCATGAGGATGTTATGATACACTGCAGTATAATAATGCTTTCTAATAAGATAAGTAAACTACACAAATCATTAAGAAAGCTCTATATTTACCTTCTCTTTGTGGTCTGTGATTTGTATAAAAATGCTGAATATTATTGAATTGTCACACTATTAAATCTAAAGCCACAAAGGTATTTTATACAACTGCTGTAAACATTCATTATACATTATAATGGTGCACTGTATCTCCATCATTATGTTAATATCCACCCTGACAACATAAGTTCCCTAAGATCCTCCAATGAGGCAACAAGGTCCCTATACAACGTGTATTCTTTTTTCCCCGATCATGTCTGTCCTTTAGTAGAGTGGACTGAAATTAAGCTTTGTTCCTGAATAAAAATTTGCTATCTATAGGCACAGCTATAAAATAGCAGAGTAATAAGTGGTCCTGGGGAGTACCTGCTGCAAACTTCCATAGAGTTGTGTTCTGGCAACCCTTAGTACTCAATGTTCTGGTGGTGCTACCTGGTTGCACATTTGCATCAAAAATAAAATATGTTTAGATTGATGGCAGGTATCAATATTTAGGTATTACCTAAACATCTTAAAGTTGTCAGTTGTATAGTTGCTGTCCAAACATTAGTATGGGATTAGTATGGGATGTGGGGGAGCAAGGGAATAGGGCACACAAAATCTTCTACTGTACCCGCCTCACAGTTTTTACATGAGTTACACTAGATCCACTGAGCTCAAAATAATCAAGCCGTTTTGGGCTTTTGACTTTGCCCTGTCTTTTAAGTCCTTATTGAACTTTCCACATTTATTCATCAGACTGTCTCTACATTACTCTGTTGATATATTTTTACAGAGATGCAATTATTACAACCTCAATCAATTCCCTGACAAGCTTTTTTTCTGGATTTGTCATCTTCTCCTTCCTTGGATACATGTCTCAAAAGCATAATGTGCCTATTGGTGATGTTGCCAAGGATGGTAAGTATACTCATTGATATGTATATAAGTTTATGTTCCTTAACCTCATGTGCACTTCGGATGTTCTGAAAAAGTTCAACAAAGTACATAGAGTGTACATCTCCCCCCCTGCTGCTGCTACCCCCACTGCTCTTGCTGGAAAATTCCATCTGTCAAAATGACAGCCGTGTATCACAGCAGCGGCTTCAGTCACTGATGTATAAAACTGATCTTCTGAACAGTGTGAACATAACCTGTTATGTAAGTTTACAAATGACTTTGACGTTGCTGAAGGCTGTTATTATGATTGGATTTATGTTACCATTTGTGTAACTTTTTCATCACAAAGAGAAACATGAATGAATGTCATTAATTCCAAAAAGTACAATTGAATTTATGATCTAACCTCAAAAACCAAAGGATAGTGTTATTTTTTTTATGCAATACAATTTATATTTATTTTTATATGCAATTTTCTAGATTTCTTCCATTCTTCACTTTCCTTTGCCTCCCTTTCCTTCCTAAAATGGTTTAATATTAATTCATTATTTTCATTATATTCACCAGGGCCTGGGCTGATATTTATCATTTATCCAGAGGCTATTGCTACACTTCCACTTTCTTCAGTGTGGGCTGTTATCTTCTTTATCATGCTCCTCACCCTGGGAATTGACAGTGCAGTGAGTAAAACTTATATACTTTCAATCTGTATGAACAAAATGCACATGTTAATAGTCAGGCCTTTTGATTAAATAACAATGCAGCATTACGTATAATTAATAAACCTTAGATCCATATTGTTTGTAATAAAATGCTTTGCTTTAACCATCTCATTGCTGCAGATCTCCTGCAACCATTTCCCATCTACATGCATGCACTCCAGGAAAGGAAAATCACATGGCATTTCTTTGGATGGGGTTCTTTTGGTGGGTTTCGTGATGCTGACAACAGTGGACCATGCATGCATAATTTGTGTTGAAACAGCCACTTGTAGTTTCCATCAGAAGCCTGTATGACAATGTAACAATGCAGGAGCAGAATTAGTAGACAGGATAGAGCATTGTTATCTTGTAACAGGAAGTGAATGACCACAAACTTACATGGCAGAATCTCTCAGGGCTGAATGCTTGGCGTATGGTGAGGTAAATAAGTTGGTGTGCTAGTCACTTTAGTCTTCTTGTAATTTTATTGACGTCTTCAACTTTGGGAGATAGAGATAGGGATGCTGGATACTTAAAAAAAATGGCAGCAAATCTGGCTCCCACAGGTAGGAGGGTGGTAGGAGGGTGAAACTGTAAGAGCCATCAATGTTCAGATCAATTACTCTGTAAGAGCAGTCACAGTCTCTTTGTTAAGTTGCAATACATTTTTTTTTCTGGACAAATGTTTGTAACATTTCAGTGCAGCAACAGGTACCCTATTCTGTCAGTAGTGGATTTTGCTTGCAATGCCCAGCAACAGTAGTGTCTAGCCAGCTCTCCCTGGATACTTTACAGCACAGTAGATTACTTTAAAGATGCTCCCTCCAGGTAAACATCCTTTTAAACAGACCCTTCAGCAAAGCAACTGTAATCAAGCAGTGCAATGACATTGGCTCTATTTGGGCCAAAACCCAGAGGAGAAAAGAACACCCTACAAAGCTGCTCCAAACATTTATCAACTTCCCTCAGTTCGCACCACTTAACAAACTCTTCAGTGATTGGCAGACTCAGAACAATATTCATAACTCAGTTATCGGTTCTTCCCACACTGACTACTGGAGACATCTCAACAGTAGAAGACAGAAGCAATTAACATCCCGACCTTAGGAAAAAAACATGCAAAGCACAGAAAAATTATAGAAATGCTTTGGTCGGCTATAGTCTAGCTGCTAAAGTAACCACAGAAAAACTAGACAGGGACACTCCAGCTTAATTACATGAAGTCACTACATGAAGATAGATATAAAATATGTATTCAGGGGTTACATTTTTTTTTTCTTAAATTATCTATTTGAAGTTCTATAGCATCATACGTTTTCCTCTTAGAACTTATATGCTCATGAAATGTTTTGGGGTTTAATCTCAGTTAAGTCATTAGCTATATGTTTTTCAGCTTCATTCTTTGCTAACTTGACTTCTGTTTTGCAGTTTTTATTACAAATCTTATATTTTATTAATGAGGAATCTGTACCCTCAAGCTTTATGAATTTAAATGCTTTTCTTTTCTGGTGCCCTCCTTTTCTGATATTTAAAACCTTTCTATTCAGCCATATAGGTTTTCCTTTATTCCTAGTGACTTTGTTCTTAGAGGAAGTATAGTACACAGTATTTTTTTAACATATTTTTTAAACATGTCCCATTGGGTTTTAGTGTCATTATTAAGAGTTCTATGGTATTCTGGAACTGGTCAGACCTCCAGATTAATCAGATACTATTGATCATGAAAAACTGATACCAAAAATAGCTTAATCTCAGTCTCAAGATGTTGAACACATATATATTGAGTCTGTAACTACTATTACAATCTTGTTTTTTTTAAACTTTTGTATATTTTTTAATAATCCATATAAATGTCTAAATTTATGTATAAATAAAATGTGTGCTATTTTTTCAGCAGGGTAGCTGAGATGTAAATCCTAGCAACCAAAGTAAGAAGAAGTTGCTAAGATTATGACATACTAAGTAGAAAAGGTTCTAAAATAAACTCAAAAAATTGCTGCATAAAAAAACATACATTGTTCATAACTCTATTCCATAATCCAAAGATTTAAAACCATGAAGCTCAAATTAAGTTTAATTCAGCTAAAAACATCCCAAGTGCACCAAATCTAAAACAGAATGTATATGTACTAAAAACAAAAGGTGTTCAACATCTTATAGTTTGTTTTTTTTCAAAGTTAGTTACAACCTTCGTAGAAAAGCCTGTCCCCTGCCAGGACCTGCAAAGTAAGACCTTTGCTCTTTGTGGATAGAAGTGATCCCTCTATAGAGGTCTGATACATCTTCTACTGAGTCAGACCTATAGCTCTGCAGTCTGCAAAGCTCATTCTTCCTGCTGATTGGCAAGCTCTAACTCTGACATAGTGAACAAAGGTCACACTCTGAAACTGCTCACAGGACGCATACTTTTTTACTCCTAACATATTTAGTGTTGAATCAGTTTTTATTAATTTTCATAAAAGTAGATTCAGACAATGCACATAATGGCTCAAACATTAAATCACATTGTTGGGACACAATATGAGGGAGGGAAACTCTGTGGCACGGCGTTGACATCCTTCAATTGCCCGACTCGCTGTAGTTGGTTAATTTATATGAGGCGAAAAAACAGAACAAAAACACAAAAAAAGAAACAAAAAAAACAACATTACACCGAATCTGTATGAGTGCTGTGCACAACATTTTGATCTAACATTTCCAGGAGCACCCTATAGGGCCGTCTGATCTTGTGCGATTTGGAGCTATCCACTTTAATAGCATATAATATAATCTTCTCGTGAACCGTCTGACTTTGCAGTCATATTAGAGAAGCATTAACCAGAGGAAAAGCGGGGAAGAAAGGATAGAAGGAGAAGGATGGGGTTGGGGGGGGGGGATCCACTGCGACATGAATTTGGAGAAGGTGTTATTATCTGTCGCCAGGAGCTCCTCCATGTGCATAACATCATTCACTAGGCTAACCCATTTGGAAATGGGTGGGGCAGTCGTTTTCCAAAACATGGGGATCACCTGTTGAGCAGCAGACAGGAGGTGCCTAAGAATCATCTATTTTTGGGCTTTCCGGGATCCGGTAGGAGTGACAGTAAGGCTATAGTTGGCGTGGGCGCCAAGGTGTCTCCGTATAAGCGATTGTAAATCGTAAAGATCTTTTGCCAAAATGAGAAAACTAAGGGACATGTCCACCAAATGTGCAGGTATGTGCCTCTTACCTCATTGCATCGCCAGCAAGTCTCAGGAGAAGAAGGGAAGATCCGGTGTATGGAGACCGGATCCCTGTACCACCTAGTAACTATTTTGTAGTTCTTTTCCTGTGCGTATGAGGAAACAGAAGATTTATGTGTGTAACAGTAAATGGTAGCCCAATCTGACTCCGACAAGTGCCTGTTCAGGTCAGCGTGCCAATGGGCCCTCGAGCCCAGCGACACCTGATGGAGAACTTCTCTCAACATCCCATAAACGACCGAGATCGTGTGGCGAGCCCCTTCCCTAGAGACAAGCATGAGTTCAAAAGTCGTCAGTGGTCTGTGCGTCTGCCCACCAACATATAGTGCGGAACATATCCACGCTAGTTGTCGATCTAACAGCCAATTCCCCGGGGGGGTGCACCCGATTATCAGCAGGCAGCACAAACTGTTCCGTGGAGGGGTGTATGAAGTCTCGGGCCGTGGGCCAATCATTTCTCCTGTATCCCCCTACTGAGGGGATAGCTACCCCTGTGGGGAATAGGGAATTGTCAAATAGAGGTGATAGGGGCCCCGGAATAGTGGAGAGAGAAGAGGCTTGATAAGTCTTCCGCCATGTTTGTAAAGTTGCAGCTGTAAGGAGGGAAGGGCGAGGGAGTGCATTAGCTTCACCTTGTGCCCTCCAAGGGAGGGCTCTCAGATCTATAGGGCATAGTTCCTGTTCAATCCGCACCGCTGGTGTGAGCCCTGAGGGAGAATGTTGGAACCAATCTACAATCCTGGAGAGGAGAGCAGCTCGGTGATACAGCTCGAAATTGGGGAGGCCTACCTCTCCTTGGGATTTGTGTCTACACAGAGTTTTATGCCGTATACGGGAATATCCTTTCTGCCATACAAAACTGTTCACCATGGTGCGAAGAGAACTGAAGAACTGTCTTGGCGGTCTTATGGGGATCGTCTGGAAGATATATAGTAATTTGGCAGGGTCTCCATCTTTAGAACGTCAAGCTCGCCAAACCACGAGATCTTCATATTCTGATACGTCTCAGAGGTTCGACGTAGGGAGCTAAGGAAAGGCTGGTAATTTAGGTGGTATAGATCTGTCAGGTTAGCTGGGATGGAAACTCCCAGATATGTGATGGAGCGGAGTTGCCATTGGAAAGGGAAATTCTTACGGAGGAGGGAGACTGTTGGGGGGGGGGGTTAATGTGAGGTTGAGAGCGGTGGATTTAGTCATGTTGACCTTGAAGTTACTCAGTCTTCCAAACTGGTCAAATTCCCTGAGTATTGCCGGTATGCTGACATGGGGACGGGTTATATACAATAATAGGTTGTCTGCAAATAGAGACATCTTATGGTGAAATGAGGGGGTGGTTATACCATGGATATCAGGGTTGAATCGGATGGCTTGTGCCAAATGCTCCATCACCACGACATAGAGAAGTTGGGATAAAGGACATCCCTGTCTAGTGCCGTTAGAGATGGAGAACGGCTCTGAGAATGAACCATTCACCATCACCCGGGCTATGGGGGAAGAGTAAAGGGACATGATCTTGGATAGAATGGCAGGCCCCAACCCCAGTTGGAGTAGGGCCTGGCGAAGGAAGCCCCAGTTAACACGGTCAAATGCCTTCTCATCATCTATGGATAGGAAACAGGCCTTGGTGTTGTGTCTATGTATATGGGAAATCAGATTGATCGTTTTAGTGGTGTTCTCCCTGGCCTCACGGCCAGGGACAAATCCGACCTGTTCTGGGTTTATGATGAACGGTAGGGACGGGGAGAGGCGAAGTGCTAACAATTTGGAGAACAGTTTACCACCTCAGGAGGGGAAACCGGGGACTCTAGTTTCTCTAACTCAGCACGGTCAATAGTCGGTGGAGCCGTATGTGCAATATATTGCTCCAGGGAACATGGGGTTTGGCCGGTCTGCAGGGAGGATGGTGGATCAGGGAGGTTGTATAGACTGGCATAGTAGCGACTGAATTCCTGGGCAATACCTGACGTGGATTGAATTTTGTGAGAGCTGCGGTCCATGATAAAAGGAATAAAGGCCCGTGGGGGGCGGGGGTGTAACGTTCTCGCCAAATGGCGGCCGCATTTGTTAGCGGATTCATACCTCAGCTTACAAGCTCTATCTTTTGCGCAGCAGGACCGTGTGTCAAGCATGTTATTGGAGAAAATGTTATTGGTGAGATTTTATGTAGATATAATATGGTCACAACAATGGCACAGTGAATAACTTCTCAATATCCACTGTGGGAACAGTAGGATTCCTTGAGATCCAGACTTAAGTCTGCAAAAAAAAAATCACAATTTTATAAAATATTACAATTAAAATCTAGAGGAATAATATGTTATTGCTGAGATTTTATGTAGAAATAATATGGTCACAACAATAAGAGAATGTAAAATATACAGAATAGACAGTAAATAGATTAATTTGCAAGACACAGACCATGCAATATAAAGTCTAATTAAGTAATCTCTTAATTTCCCAGAATATATTGATCCTTTACATCAGTCCAGGTAGTTGTGTTATGATGCAATTTACATGTTTCTCCTAAATGAGTTCTTGATGGAATTTCAGTGTGATTTTACATTAACTGTGCTGTGGGCTCTGCAATAACTGATATTTAGCATTCAGTCTTGGTTTGCATACTTACTCTCCCTGATGTGAAACTGACAAATTCTTGCTACTAGGGTTGCAGTCTTGTGTTTGTATTACCTGCAGCTTAAATATTCTTTTACAGGTCTTGTCAGGTATTTTTAGCCAAAACATTTGTGAGGTTTCAGGTAAAGTATTTTTCAGCATTTTCCCTATCAGTAGCTGTGATATAATTATAGACCTTTACTTTCTTTATAAGTGGGCAAACTTACAAAATCGCTAATGAAAACACTCACCTCTCCGCCGGCTTCCGGGAGTCCCGTCAGTCATGTCCGTGACGTCACTGGACTCACTGTACTCTTCCACCCTTCCCCAAGTGGCTCCATCGGCTAACGAAGGAAAGGGGAGGAGTCCGGTGACGTCGATGTCCGTGCCGGCTAACGAAGGGAAAGGGGGGGGGAGTCCGGTGACATCGATGTCACCGGACTCCTCCCCCCTTCGTTAGCCGACTGAGCCACTTGGGCTGGTGAGTTTGCCCACGAAACTTTCTACACGAGCGCCAGCCAAGGCATTGGCCTATACACATACAGCACAGCAATGAAGTAATAAAATGAACTAGGATCACAGTAATCCAGCACGTTATTATTCTGAGCTGCCCCACTCAAGACCTTTTTGTCAATTTTGTGCCACCAACCCCGAGGTTGTTTGAAAATTAACGGTTGTATGCATTTGGGATATAAAAGAAGCACCATTATAAATTGTTAGCTACCTTGTTTATTTGAATATTCTTAATATGATGAGTGGCAGTAAACATTTTTTTAGATTATTTAATCCAAAAAAGAGCTTTTAACTGGAGTAGACTAAATTGATTTCTTTGAATTTCATTACAGATGGGGGGAATGGAGTCGGTAATCACTGGCCTGATCGATGAATTTAAGTTTCTGCATAGACATCGGGAGCTCTTTACACTCTTCATTGTGCTGTGTACTTTCTTCATATCTCTCTCCTGTGTAACCAACGTATGTTGTTTGTATATACATTACATCTGGACTTGGCAATAATAGTATTTATTACAATACACTGGTAATATTGGAAATTATAGTTCTCTAAAGTAGTTTATATAGCTTGTTTAACCTTTGTAAATTACAGTTGTAGTTATAAATACTTTCTGAAATAATTTGAAACAAATGTATTCCATATACTCAATTAAAAATGTACGGCCCTTATTTGTAGAAATATATTCCTATACTAAATTTAATTTAAATTCAGAATGAATGGCAATGCACTGCCACACACATATAACCATTCATTACCACAATGCAAAGGTGTGAATCCAGCCTTTACTTGTCAGTTCTTCAATCTTTGTGTTTTTTGGTAGTAACCACTCTGCTACTCATGTCCTAAATGTGGCAATTAGGTGGCCTTGTGAGCCAGTCTATTGTCTTATTATATCTATTGCATACCTAGTGATAGCTGCACCAATATGGCAGGCATTGTCTATAAAAAAATTTCAGTTGCCCAAGTTATTGACATACTGCCAGGTTATAAGTCTCCCTTTGCAAAAACCTCTCAAACATTGTGCTAATAATGAATTTAGGTGTAACACCTTCTAGATACTCCTATACAGCTTGTCCTATTTTTATTTTCTATAAAAGATAGAAAAGAAACCAACATATAATAAAAACACTAAAAAGCTACTTCTTACCCAATGCAAATGTGGCTATTTGTATTTGTTTGCTCTTTGGTCATCACTTGTCCAGTCCTGTTAACACTCTGTCTAACATTCTCTATTATGAAGCTCCGTCCAAGCACTTTTCATCTCACTTATCCCACAGTGGTCCTTTGATCCATTATCTTTCTTTCATACACTTTCCATAACATAAGCTCACTTTATGGCTATGATCTGCCGTCACCTGTTCTGCACATCATCAACCCTCTACCTCCTCAGGCTTCAGCTGATAAAGTATCTAGTGCTTGTTTTTTCTACTTCCCGGGCCCTTCCATTCTCACTGATTTAAAGATGTAGAGTGCAAGAGCAGCGGCCAGGTATTTAAGATAGGACAGAGGCACTGGTGGGCATGCCATTATATTCCAGCGCTGGACAGACAAGGATGAGCCTGCAATTGTAAACTTTTTGTAACTGCTTGGAGTTCAGCTTCAACTCCCATCCACCATCAGCTGCCACTGCTTTTTCCACCACCATTAACCCAATATTTCTGAGAAACTGTATATGAGTAAAGGTGTCCAAACTTGTTAAAATACAATTGTATTAGTAAAAAATTAAATAGCATGATTTAATTAGTTTAATAATTTTAAATATGTTAAATTGAAAAGCAAGCAGGTTGTAAAATTTCAGCTTGCCTTTGCATAATTTGAGACCTAATGGATGATATGGATTGGATTTTTTTTCCATCTATGCAAATAAACAAATTAATAAATAAAACAAAATCAAAGCATTCCCAATTATGACTGATATTGGGGAATAACGTGCAAACATAGGTGGAGCAATTCAAAAGAAAAGACTCCGAAATGACAGAAACATTTCTAAAATAAAAAAGAAATCATGTAAAATAATTGTGTGTGTAATAAGCAAGTATTTGTCACAGGAAGGAAAATAAAGCTGCACCCATTTCCAAATACTTGTTTCATGAACAGGTACATGTTCACTAGTACAAGCATTTGAAGAAGCATGTATAACTTACATTTTCTTAAAGTGTTGAATAGATAGAGCCAATTACCACCTGACAAAGTAAGCCATGAGAAAAATCTTGATATCATAACCCCTGGTAACTAACTCCTTACTATTGTACTAGAGAGTGAGACAGCAGAAACCACTGAAGCATTTAATAACTTCTGTCCAAGTTGAGATTTGGTTTGCCTTGTTTGATGCACATTTTTGCTGTCCATAAAAAAATAATTACATTTTTGTATTTATTTTGTATTATTTTCTAGGGTGGAATATATGTTTTTACACTACTTGACCATTTTGCTGCAGGGACATCTATTCTTTTTGGGGTGCTCTTTGAAGCTATCGGAATTGCATGGTTTTATGGTAAGAAATACATGTATTAAAAGCAAATTCAGTAGAAACATTTTTTGGTTGATGTTTTTCAGAAAATATTTTGAAAGTAAAAATATATGCTGGAAAGCAGCAGGTAAATGCAATAAAAATGTCTTCTCAGTGAGTTTACTAAAATCTTAAACCAGCGTTTTAAACGTCTTTTACATTTAGTACATAACGTAATGCTCTTTTCTGCCTAAATTAATACAAAACATGCCCTGAGAGTGGTATGATGCATGTGAAATGCATGGTTCCTAGTTTGAGAAGCTGTGAGACACAAGACTTTCCTGTGTTATTACCTCTAGGGACTAAAAGACAGGGATCATTTTTTATATAAGTTGGAAGCCCACCCATGTCCACTTCAACTCTTGCAACTATATACCCTTCATGAACCAGAGTAATTTATATTTTTCTACTTTGTGTCTGTTTATTTGGCAATTACCTCACATAGCAAAGTAATAGGCTTGCTTTTGGTAATATTGGCTTGCAATCTATAAACCAATAGATAAACATTTTTTCCTACATTGATCAGTGTTAGCTTAAAAGATGAAAATAAACTAGTGTCACTGTAGATAAAAAATATGAATTCTATGATATAATTTCTCTTGCTTTTAATAGTATTAAAATGAAATTTCTGGTACAAAACGCTTGCTAACGATAGAAAAGCTTTTTTTCCAACTTTGTGCATTTTGTGCACAAGGCCAGCATTATTTGGGTGTACATAGCATGCCCAAGGTACACAAACTGATATATAACCATGCATATATAACCTCACAACCAAGTGGTCATTTACTAAGATGTAGCAAAATATGGCAGATCCGTATACTGATTACTCAAACAGTAGGTTTTAATCAGGATAAGCAAAACTGAGAGTTTTCACTTTGTCAAAATACATTGGAGTCATTGGGAATGTTGAAATTAAAGTGGTTTCTGAGGTTTGTGGTGGATGTTAAGGGTGCAATGGTCTTTTTTTAACTTGTTTAAAGTATTTTATTTAATTTTATTGTAATTTCCTCTGACACTCTCAGAAACAGTTTATAAACCAGTCTTGGCCATCGTTTATTGTGCTGTGGCTTAAACTCTCTCGAATGATACAATACATGTATTTCTTTCTTCTCCCCTAGGGACCCCCACTCTGATTTTCTTGTACTTTTCTTTTCTTTTCCCTTCTCCAGCATCCTTTTCTTTCTCTTCTCCTTCCTTTTTCTCTTTCTCCCTTTATTGGTTCCTCAGGTTTTAAAAATATCACCCTAACCGTCCACTCCACTCTTCTTAAGACCTCCTGCTTTGCAGCTCCCTTGTGAACTCCTCCCATACTCGCCTCCAGGACTTCTCTAGAGTCTCTCCCATCCTCTGGAACTCTTTACCCCAACCAGTCCGTCTATCTCCCACATTGACTGCCTTTAGGCATTCCCTAAAGACTCATCCCTTAAGTGAAGCCTATCCCACCTCAACCTAACCACTGAACCATCACGTTCTCAAACAATTCATCCCCACACATCTACCTCCTCATGTATCACTTCCCCCTCCCCTTTTAGATTGTAAGCCCCCAGGGGCAGGGCCCTCCTTACCATCATGTCTTGAATTGTATTGTGAATATAATGTCTTCCCGTATATTGTAAAGTGCTGCACAAAATGTTGGCGCTATATAAATACTATGTAATAATAATAATAATAATGTTAAAATCACTGCTCCTTTAAAAAAAAATGTTCATTCATTCATGTCCCCCAGGGCAGTGCCCGAATCCCCATACACTTTTTATGGCCAATAAATTGCAAATAAGGCTTCAAAATGGGGACATTTGAGTTTTAAAGTTCTACCCCCATAGACTCGCATTGAGTTCGAGTTCGCACTTTTCGAACTCATAAAATACTATGGCAATTAGATCAATGTGAAAGCTAGGTAATGAGCATTTTGCGAAAAAGTAGTCGGCATCGGTGGCCCTTCATATCTTATTCATCTAGGGTTGCCAGTGGAAACGGGACTTGTTACCAATGTTGTTGAATAGAAAAAAAGATCATAAGGCTAGTATATACATTTGATGTTTTTCTAAGGCTTCCATTAAAATTACAGTTACCAATAGCTCTCTTTATTTTTATCCAGGTGTCGGTCGTTTCAGTGATGACATAGAGGAGATGATTGGTAAACGACCAGGATTATACTGGAGACTTTGCTGGAAGTTTGTCAGCCCTTGTTTTCTTCTAGTAAGTTGAATAACACTAGATTATAGTTGAAAAAAAAAGCTAGGGCAGATTGTTCTTACTATTAAATGTTCTTGTTTTGTGTGACTTAAAGTGAGTGTCACCACAGAAGAGCATCTATACTTACCTATCTGTCAGCCCATGTCTTCAAATTCCTTCACTTTACTGCTCCCAGATAGCTGCAGGTATCCCATGTGTCAAGAAGTGTCAAATACCTGCTTCTGCTGCCACATGCAGTGCACCCCCCACATCCAATCAAAGAATGCCTAGTATTTATTGAGAAAAATACTAGGAATCCTCTAAATGAGTGCTATACTTAGCCAGTGACTCTCTGTGTTTTAACAGCATAGGGAAGTGGCTCAGCATAGTGGCTGTTGCAGGGACCCAGAAGGTGCTAAAATACACAGTAGTAGCTACTACAGTGTATGACAGGATCCACATGGCTCTGCCAGGGATCATTTATGTATATTTACCTTGTGCAAAGCTAGACCAATGTAAGTACAGTATATACAGTATATTACTCCTGGTGTTATGTTTTACATAGTGACATTTGTTTATTTTAACCTGTTTATGGTTCATGTTACTCTGTCTCTTAAAGAACAAAGCTGCTGACAGGTATAAAGTGTAGCAACTAGAGGTACCTGCAGTGACTTTCAGTCTCCCCCACTTTACTTAAAAGGTGTGCCGTTATAATCGTAGAAAGTTTCCACACTTCCTTGTGGTGGCAAAGCTTACCCACATCTTCTGACCTCCCACACATACCTACTGGACTTTGAGGTAGCTCATGAACAAATAAGATGTTATATAAGGGGCAAATGTACAACTCTGTTATATTAAAACTAGACCTAAGCACTGTTGACAGCACTAACCCCTGCAATAACTGGAACATCAGGGATTCAGCTTTGTAGACTCCAAAGAATATAATTCATAGGTCAAACTGCTCTCAAGTGTGAATAAATATTAGGCTAAAGACTACAAAATGATATTTCAAGACTAAGGGAAGTATTAGGGTTTCCAATACCTTTAATGATTTTAACTTGTGGATTTCCATTAATGTCACTTAACTCACAACTTCCTTTTTACTTTTGTCTCAAATTAGCAGGTTCATTATATTGTTATGGTTTAGGATTCTACAGAAAGTCTATATCTGCTTGATGGTATCATCCATGACACCACTATTCAATGACATTCAGTGATAATATCATTATATCAGCAGTGTTTTTATTAAATTAAGGTATCATGAAAAAGCTAACTTTGAATAATCATGCAATTTGAAAATGGTTGGCTGCTTCTGTATTTAAAACATTCAACCTCTTATAAAAAAAAAGTAAATGTATATAATACATTATGATTATAATGTATAAAATGATGTGCCCTTTGGAAAGAAACACGATGCTAATATGTTGGACACAATAGCAGGAGTGGATTCCAAAATTCCTGGTTCCAAAACCACCAATCCCCTTCTTTGTACAATTGCACTTAGGTGTTTTTTGCAATTTCAGTAATTATTAATTTTCTGACTTTCTCAAACCAACATGTATGTGTGTTTATCATTTTTTTTATGTTTTGTTTTTGCAGACTTTAAATGCT